GGTTAAACATCACACTTACAAATAAGAAGAAGAATTTATAGAACACACAAAACATCAAGTTTTATTTCAAAATTCAAATGTTTGGTTATGTAAAATTTTATAATTTTAAACAGAACAGAACATTTTTATAAATATCTAAGATACTTAAGTGATTAATTGATGTTTACAATTAGATAAAAATAAGTAAAATGAAGCGAACGCCATTGATAATTTCACATATCCAACGATTCTTTTATAATACATCAACTCATTCAATTGTAAGGAAACATCAAAATGTTAATGTTTCATTTTTAGGAACCTCTAGCTCACAGATATCTTTAAATTATTGCTGGAAATGTGGAGCAGAACGAAAGGGGTCTAACATATTTTGTGAAAAATGTAACGTTATACAAGTACCAAAAGAAAAGAGTAATTATTTTAAGCTGCTGGAAATTCAAGAGACTTTTAATGTTGATCAAAAGCTTTTAAAGGAGAAATTTAGGAATTTTCAAAGTTATATACACCCAGATAAGTTTAGTAATAGGTAATTATAACTTTTTGTTTATGCTGTTAAAAGCTAGTAGTAATATCTTATGACTTGGACTGTAAGGTCCTTAAATAACATGTTTATTAGTTCTATTTACCATTTGTTTTAGTTTGCATTATATTTACCTTTATCTGCAAATGTGGTGTGCTTCTCTAATTTCATAATTTTGGCTCATGTCAATATTATTCACCCTTATAGACAAGTGTTGTATAACTAAATATCTCCTATCAGGCATTCCTAGGTTGTTATCCCCTATATGCAGGAATTTACAACTTAGCTATTCTCTTATTATGTGATTATCAGCTTGAATGAATACATACATTTTTAATTTGATTCTTTTTTTGTCATTCCAATAATCTGTATAAGGCTTATCATTTCTTCTATATGCATTTGATGTTCTTTGTTAATTTTAAATGTTTTCAGTGTCCTATAGTATAGCAGATCTTAACATAGTTTTATAGAATTTTCCTTTCAGTTTAATTGGAACCTTTCTATCACAGAACACACTAGTAACATCTTTCCATTTCGTCCATACCACTGTAACTTTACTGCATGCATCCATCTATACTTTTTACAATTATTTCACCATTCAAAGTTATCTTATTTCTAGTAGAAACTCTATCTCTAAATGAATATTAAAGACATTTATTTTTGTCTTACTTTGGCTTTCAAATTTTATCTTTAAGATCTTGCATTTTTGATCTTGTATTTTTTACTAACAGCACACACATGATCAACATAGTTTAATAATCATTGAAATTCCCTCTTATTTGATACAACTTTAACAAGAATAAACAAGTACTAAAAACTGAACTCTAAAATAATAAAATTGTATCTTCACATTAAATTTATAGCACACACCTGTCCTAATACTAATGGTTAGTCCATCATATGTTTCAAAACCCTCAATTAGTTGCCTTGAACTATTTTTTATTGAGTGCGCACCACAGAACTTCTCTAGGGACCTTATCATATGATTTCCCAAAATCAATTATTAACATGAACAATGAATGGCATTGTGTGTGTCTGCTCTTCAAATCAGTCTGGGCGAGAATGAATGAAAAGCTTAAAATGCACATGTGGACTAATCCAAGATATGTGGAGGACTATGCTTTGCAACTAGAAATGAAGCTGGAGATGATATTCAGGAATTAGCAACAGTAATATAAATATGGTGTAGTGTCTGTCACTCAAATAAAGTTAATTTAAGTAACATCAATTTTAAAGTAAAAAATTCTGTTGACATTTTTTATCAACAGAATTTTTAAATGTATTCAAAATTTTTCTTGTTTTATTAATGCTATTTCTAAAGTAAAAAAGTTTTGTCAATTATTGCTATTTGCTGATGACCTTAAGCTATATTTCAAAGTATCAAATCTATCTGAGTGTCTATGGATTCAAGACGACCAGACTTCCCTATATAGTTAGTCTCTTTCCAATGGTCTCCAGTTGAATAAAGATAAGTGCTTTGTTATATCCTTTAGCAAATCTAAAAATAATGTTGTGTTTGACTACCATGTTAATACAAGCCTTCTCTCAAAAGTGACTGAAATACGATATTTGGGGGTGTTACTTGGCAGTTCCTTGTCATTTATCTCTCAAATCAACAATTTGTCAAATAAAGCATACTGCAATCTAGATTTTATTACAAAAAACTCTCGAGATCTTTTGGAGCTCACATATAGAATTTCATATCTTACTTTCATCCATAGCATCCTGTCTTATGCTTCTATAGTATGGTCACCATACTATTTTAAACATATTTTCATCCTTGAAAAATTCAAAATAAGTTTCTCCGGATTTGTGGTTATAGATTACACTTAAAGGACATTAGTATTTGGCGGAACTAAGGTCAAGGCTAAATATCAGTTCCCTAGAAGCCTGCAGAACTAAATGTGATCTAGTTTTTCTCTATAAACTACTTGACCATACCAAGGACTATTCCAATTTATTCATTCTTATCAACTTTAGATGTAGTGCTAGAATTCTTAGAGAAATGCCTTTGTTTTCTACAAAACACTATCACACTAACTATCTGAGTCTATACTTATCTGAGTGTAAAAATAGATGAAAAGGAACAAGACAAACGAGAGATAGAGGCAATAATATCAAATGAATACAAAGGGTATGTAGCATTGCGAGCATTAATGAAATTCAGATATCAAAGTCCAGTCTCAAGAAAAACAAAAATTAGAATTTACAAAACAGTTATCAGGTCTACAGCTACATGTGCATGAGAAATATGAATGCTTAACAATAATTGTAAATGTAAACTTTTCGACCCTAGATTTTTCAAGTACTTCCGTTTTGCTGTCAGAACCTCCTTTTTGTTGTTTTTGTCTATGGTTTTTGGGTTTAGATCTACACTTCATTCCTGCAATCAACCATGCAGATATAAAATACCATAAAAATGTACTATTTTGGTAGCTATTTTTAAAATATATCAAATAGTTCTAATATATATTTAAAACCTACATTTGATAATGAAATTCCATTTATTATTAGTGGCTTATAAAAGGATTGTAATTTTTAATAACATAAAAACTCCAATAAGACTAGTTGTTTCAAAAGCTTTACTGATCTTTACAAATTCTGCACCACAGCATTCTGGTCTTTCCCAATTCTGATTATTGATTTTATTAGACTACATAGTTTTTCAATAATCGCACCTATTAATTTTTTTCTGATTCTGCAATGTAACATAATTTTTTATATTTTATAGTACTAGTGAAGAGCAAAATATATCAGAAGAATATTCCTCTTTGATCAACAAGGCCTTTAGTAATCTTCTATCACCTTTAAAAAGAGCTGAACACTTATTACATTTGAGAGGAGAAAGTATTGCAGAGGGCCAAACTATTGATGAACCTGAATTCTTAATGAAAATAATGGAATTAAATGAAGAGGTAACATTGACCTTAATTTTTGCATGTTTATATTATATTACACAAAAATAGAAACTCTTTTTATTCTTTATAAGCAATTCTGCTTGTTGATTGGTGGATTAATACCTCTATGGAAGGTTGTCACTTAACATATGTAGTTATTCCATTCTTTTTTTCCCTATTTTGTGTCCATTCATTTGTACACTATACGTTACATTTTCTTCTAATCTCTTCACTTCTCTTTCAATCTCTCAGTGTATTTCCTGTAATTCTTCTCAGTACTCTCATCTCTGCTGTTTCCTGTAGCCTTTTCGTTGTAGCTGTGTAGGGACGTGTTTCTGAGGCATATGTCATTGTTGTTCTTACACTGGCTTTATAAATTATTAATTTCATCTCAGTGTTATGTGTCTGTTTCGTCATATAGTGTTATTAAGGCATCGTGCCAGTCTATTTGCTTTTTGTACTTTATCTCTCTCTTCTTTGTCGAGGTCTCCATAGCTAGACAGTGTAATTCCCAGGTATTTTATTTCCATTCCTCCTCCTCCTCAGTCTTAATCCCTTTTGAGATGTGGTGACACCATCAGGCCTTCACAGTTTTTTCACGATTTCCTTCTATCCTTCTCTGTCCTGGGCTAGTTGTTCGGCTTCATGTATTCCCTTAGTTAATCAATATTTTTGTTTGATCTACCCAACGGTTTGGAGATCTTCCCTTAGGTCTCTTTCCTTCAACTGTACCCTCGACTATCAGTTTTTCCATCGTGCCTGTTCTTCTAGCAATGTGTCCAAAATTATTTCAATTACTTGTTCAATATTGGTGCCATCAATTTCTATTTTACATCTGGTTGATACTTTGCTAACTACTATTGTTTTAGTTTTCTGAGATGAAATTTTAATATTAAATTCTTTTGCTCTTATATTAAATCTGTGGACCAGTCTTTGCAGACTATCTTCATCTTGGCTCATCAATATTGCGTCGTCTGCGTAAAAGAATATTTTTACTTCTTTGTTACCTATTCTGTATCCTTTTTCTTTGTTAACGCTTTTGATGATTTTATTCAGGATCGAATTGAAGAGCATGGGGCTCAATGAATCCCCTTGTCTTATTCCGCTGCCTACATCTAGAGGTTCTGTAAGTTGTCCATCTATTCTAACTTCCATTTTGTTGTTTTAGTAGATGTTTTCGATAGGTTTTATAATATTTAGGGGAATTTCTCTATTATACAGAAGATGGATTATATCTTTGAGTGTTACTCTGCCAAACACTTTCTTTAGGTCAATCAGACACAGAAATGCTGGTCTATTATACTGTACACAATCTTCCACTGCGATAACCCTGTTGTTCTTCTGCTAAACTTATCCTCTGATTTATTAGCACTTGTAAGATTTTAGTTGTAAGTTTTAGCATAGTATTTATAAGTTTATACCTCTGTAGTTTTCTGGCTGTTTTTTATCTCCTTTTTGGAGAAATAAAATAATATTAATGATAAAAAATTAAAATAAAACCCTAGTTATATGACTATATGTTATGAAAAAATGTTATGAAAATGAAAAAATTACTACACATATTACTGCTAGTTCTCTTCTTCTGCATCTTGTGCCAAAAGATTTTCATAAAAACTATGATGACTTTCTGGTATCATATTCGAATTGCATAAGTATAATAAATCTTTCTTTTTTGGCCATATGAATTTGACTGTTCCTTGTAGGCAGCTGTAAGTTGCATTTATTGTTCAATTTATTGGATATTATGCATAGTATGTAATGTTTTTTTTTTACATTAAACAAATTACATTCGTCATTCATCATCATCAACTGTACTTAAAGAAAATTGTGTTTGGACTAACTATTCTAAATTTGAGCATATATATATATTATATATATATATATATATATATATATATATATATATATATATATATATATACAATTCTCACAAGGGTAAGCCTATTGAAGACATAAGAACTTCATTTTTCTAATGTAAATTTTGAAAAAGAGTAAAATAAACTCGAAAGCTTAGCAAACCTAAAAGAGTTTTACTTAAAGGCCAATATATTGACTACTAAACCCAATATATCCGTATATATATATATATATATATATATATATATATATATATATATATATATATCCACAAGGAAAATGAAATTCCTGTAGTTGGCGGTATACCATAAATCACAAGTTTTATTAAAATATTCTTTATAAAAGGTATATAATTAAAAATGTTCTTATGGGGTACATCACATAGCTACCTGAAAGAAGTATTACCACTTTAGTGAAAGCAAACATAAAGGTTAAATTTTGTTAAAAAAGCAATGTGGTTAAATATTTAAATAAAAGTAGAGAGGATAGTGCACATCCTTATTGTACTCCTCTGCTTATAGGTATCTCCTTAGATTTTTGTTTTTCTACTATTATGTCATTCTCATATCGGTATAAATTTGTAATGATTCTCACATCCTGTTCATCTTTTTCTATGTTCCGTAATATTCTTGCCAGCTTTCTCTCTTACATTTTGTCGAAGGCTTTCTAAAAGTCGTAGACACATAACTACGTCACAGTTGATAGCTCGACACCGTTCTATGAGTGTTTGTATAGTAAATAATACATCTCTAGTGCCCAAGCCCTTTCTAAATCCCAGTTGGTTTTCTGTTATTCTATCGTCTAGCTTTTTGTAAACACGTTCATGTATCACTCGTAAGAAGACTTAAAACATGGTTCATCAAACTGATTGTTCTATATTCTTCACATTAGCCATTCTCTTGAAGTTTCCCCGGTATAGTAAATTTCATTGAATAATTTTACTAGTATATCAATGTGGTTATCTGTTATTACCCTCAATATTTCTGTACGTATTTTATCCGCTCCCATGGCTTTATCATTTTTTATATGTTTTTCCCCTATGGTAATTGTAGCCCCATTTCTAGCTCTTGGTTCTATTGTCTCCATTATTTCGTCGTCTTCAAATAGCTCTTTTATATATTCTCCCCTTCTATTTATTTTCTCTGCACTTTCCATTATTATTTTGTTATTTTTGTCCATTATATGTTCAATACCTGTTTTTGAAGTTTATACTTCTATACGCACGGTCGGCGTTGGAAATTTGCATGAGAGTGAATCTCTGAAACCATTACATATGTAAGATAATGAGTAAGAGAGAGACAGAAGATATATTTTTTCTCTCTTCCTCTCTCGAGAATAAAAATGTTCCTTTTGTATAAAATATATATTTAATATTATATAAATTATATTATATTATATATATATATTATATATATATATATATATATATATATATATATATATAATATAATATGTATTAATATTATTATTTATGTGATATGTTTTGTATTATTTAATAAACGTTTATAATTATTTTAGGCTTTTGTATTTCAAAATAATCACTGTTTGACCGAGAACTGTCAATTTTGAAATCCGTTAGTATCATGTCTAGTTGGCGAATCCTTTACGTGATTGGTTCATACGCTGGTGGTTGTGAGTTCGAATCCCAATTATGAATTTCCTTTTTATTTTTTAAATATTTAAAAACCTCAAGTTAATATTATTAAATATATGTAATATACGCAAAAATGCTAAATTTTAAAATAAAATGAAAATTTACAACATAATCCGAGTTGTTGGTTTTTTATTTTTATCTTCATAAAGTAAGTTATGTATATTGGCAGTTTTAAATACTTATGAATATTACATTTTAATTTATATTGTATTATATTGAATTATATTGCAGTATATTTATTGTATTGTAATTTTTATATTAATAACAAAATAAACAATGAATTTTACTGCAGAGTATGTGTAAAAAAATGTTTTTGCACTCAACTCCTTTTATACATATATAAAAAAATATATATTTTGATTAAAATATTGATACAATCCTTCATTTACTATACTCCTATTACAGGTCAAATGTTTATATACAGCAAACGATGCACCATATACCTATATAACTAATTATTTTTCTTTCTGCTCTCTCTTACCTATAGCATTACATATGTAATGATTGTGCAGATTGACTCCCGTATAAATTTTTAACGGCGAACGCGTGTATAGAAGTATAACTTCTACCGGCAGTCCCACTAGACTGTCACACCCGTTTTTTTATATGCCAGCTGTTTCTTTAACGTTCCTGTACATGTTAAAGTTGTCATGTTGTTTTTCTAATATTTCTATTGCTACATATTTCTCTGATAGCCACAATTCCTTCGCTTCTTTGATTTTTTGTTTGATTGTTTTATTTAAGTTTTTATATTGTTGTTCGGTTTTATTCTTGTATTTCCTCCTTTGCTTTTAGGGGATCTGTCGGATCATCCAACTGTTGTTGTATGATGTTCTTTAACTCTCTCCATTTTTCTGTAGCGTTAGTTCTGTTAGCATTTGTTCTTTGATCTGTTGGCAGAGATCAGCTTCTTTTTGTTTGCTCAGATTAATCTAGTTAGGTGTCAATCAGTCCATGTGTTTTGGTGGTTGTTTTAATTGTCTTTAGTTTTCAGATAAATACTTTTATTAATCTGAAATTTTATTTACATTTCTTACATTTTATTTTATTCGTTTATTGTTTAATCTTATGTGATTGTTTTAGATTGAAGAAGCTGAACACAATGTAGACAAATTGAAACAACTAGATGCACAAAATAAAAAACAACTGGATAAATTAATTAAAGACATTGATGAGCATTTTAAAAATGGAAACTTGGAAGAAGCAAAGAAGACTATTATTAAATTTAAGTATTTTTCTAGTATTAATAGCAGAATAAATTCAATATTTAGAGAAGCTGGAGTGGTTGATTGATATTAGACAAAATTATGTGTTTTTAAATTAATTATAGGTAATATTAAAGTTTTATTGTATATATATTTGTCGAAAACAATAGAGAATTTATAAATCTTCTCAGAGTGTACTATTTACTGTTAACAATAAAAAATAAACTCGAAGAAAGCTAGGTTACTTTATTAGACTAAAACTTTATTGACTGCTTTTTGTATTTTAACAAGAATTTGTGATATGAAAGGTTGAAATTATCTTAACCCATTCACTGCCATGTTCCAAATCTGGAACAATTGTTAGTTTCGCTGCTGGTTACAAGATGTCACTGTTGGTCTTAAATCTGATAAACTGTTTGTGTTCGGTAGTGTCAAAACAACACTTTTGTTTTGTGATTCATATCAAAATTTCAAGGAAGGTGCAGTTGTATAACTTCTAGTTCGATTATAGCCATCGATAAATAATATAATAGTAGAAATAGAAACAGATTCGCCGTGGGGTCCGCCAAGGGTGTATTCTATCACCCTTGTTATTCAATTTATACAGTGAAGCCATCTCAGATTTAGCGCTTGCCGAGACTGTGAGGGCCTTTTAATAAACGGTGAGCCACTTAATAACATAAAATATGCTGACGACACCGTCCTTCTGGCAGGAACACTAGAAGAACTGCAATACCTTTCTGAACAACTAAATATATATTGCAACGATTATGGACTAAAAATAAATTTGAAGAAAACCAAGTTTATGGTATTTACAAAAGCACAAAACATCAAAGTTAAGCTAGTACTAGATAATACAGAAATTAAACAAATATCTTTGTACAAATACCTTGAAGCATGAATCACAGAAGATACTGATCAGACAAAAGAAATAAGATGCCGCATTGAAATTGCACGGTCAACTTTTAATAGAATGAGAAAACTTTTGTAATCGCGATATCAATATATCGCTCCGGATAAGAATGCTTCGATGTTATATTTTCTCTACCCTTTTGTATGGAGTTGAAGCTTGGACACTTAAAAAATCCAATATTAAAAACCTAGAAGCATTTGAAATGTGGTGTTACCGAGGTATTTTGAAAATATGGATGGATCGCAAAACAAACGAACAAGTTCTCGAACAACTAGGAAAGCAATGCGAAGTTTTAAATTCCATAAAAATCAGGAAATTGGAATATTTGGGGCACATCGTGAGAGGTGAAAAATACAAACTACTAAGGAATATAATGCAGGGTAAAATCAAAGTTAGAAGAAGCGTAGGATGACGTAAAATCTCGTGGCTACGCAATCTCCGTGAATGGTTTGGATGCAGTTCAATTGAACTATTCAGGCGCGTAACCAACAAAATTTATTATAATTGCCAGAATGATTTCCAATCTCCGATAGGAGTGGAACTTGAAGAAAAAGAAATCGATAGGCAACTCAATGTATAAATTTCGTTCATTAGGACCCCTTGTAGCTGGGGTCAATACTAATCTTTTGGCGGCAAATTCGAATGGACACCCCTTACATACATACCCTTTAGCGCGTCTTGCGGGCTATTTCGTTACTAATTAAAATTTACTGGAAAATAAGGATATATAAAAGATGCACATTTTTTTCTATATATACGTATATTTATTAGCTGTTTAAGATAAAACAGTTGTAAACTAATTACATAATATTTATTATACATATTTTCAGAATACTTTTATTGTTTGCTTCCTGACAACTTACTATCATCATTTGATAATTTTTCCATGATTTGTACACAACGGAACAATACAATACTTCACCATGTTTAGTTTTTTTACTAGCACAACCCAAAAATTCTTTGCTACAATAGGTAACTCAAACTAAACTTTAAAAACTAAGTAACCAACTTAAATTAAAATTACTAAGAATAAATGCAAACGAAAGTTAAAGATAATAAAATAAAATTGAAAACTTGTAAACAAATGGAAGATCTGTCATTACTTTTGACAGAATTGACATTGCGGAATTAAGCTTCGTTTGATTATTTTATTGACACCCCAAGACTGTGTTAAAATAAATGATTGGTTAAAGACTTCGTGAGAGAGATAGGCTGTCATTTCTCTTTATTAACTCGCTGGGGGAATGAACCAGGGTCATTCATATAAGATTCCAGGGCATGATTATAGCTATTTTCTGTCTTCCGGGTTTGGACCGTGTCATTTGTGAGTGACCCAAAAGTGGGTTCATCTCGACGTTTCGCTACAATTATATGTAGCTTCTTCAGGAGAACAAAGAAAATGAAAAAAAGAAAACAAAAGAACAGGGAAGATGGGTAGTTAGCAACGGTAACTCAGTTACTCAACGCAACCTTAACTCTCCTACCTACAAACTCGCAAAGTACTTGTCCAATCAGTTTAAGACCTATACTGGTCGTACCTCTTCTTATGTCCGAAATTCCACACATTTCATCACCTTAATCTCCTCTCTCACAGTCGATCCCAAGATATTCTCGTCAGTTTCGATGTATCATCCCTATTTACCAATATCCCCATACATGACTCTCTAGTTGTTCTGCGAGATCACTTGACCAATGATAACAAGTCTTTGGTTTTGGCAGATCTTGCCGAAAAATGCCTCCTTTCAACATATTTTTCTTTTAGAGGCAATTTCTACAAACAAATATCTGGAACACCAATGGGTTCTCCCCTTTCCCCTGTCATTGCTGACATTTTCATGGAAGCCTTTGAGTCTTTAGCCCTAGAATCTTACCCCTTAAAACCAAAAGTCTGGTTCCGCTACGTTGATGATACATTTATCATCTGGCCCCATGGTCAACATACCCTTTCTTCCTTCCTAGATCATCTTAACTCACAACATCCGAGTATAAAATTCACAATGGAAGTAGAAAATAATCGGTCCCTTCCCTTTCTCGATGTGTTAGTCACCTCCAAGCCCAATGGCCGATTGGGTCACTCTGTTTATAGAAAAAAGACTCACACGAATCGTTACCTACATGCTTCATCACACCACCATCCTGCCCAAAAGAATTCTGTGATCAACTCTCTCATCCATCGGGCCATTTCGATTTCTGAACCCGACAACCTTAGAGAAGAACTTGGCCATCTGCAAAAAACCCTTGTCGCCAATGGTTACTCCAAGTCCACAATTCAAAATATTACACACCGACATCTACATCCCCCTTTACACCCTAGGACAACAAATTCAGAATCTTCGGGTAATACTCCTGTGGCTTTTCTTCCGTATATTCGAAATGTCACTGATAGGATTGGCAAAATTCTTCGCAAAGAAGGTATCAGGACTACTTTTCGACCACCCAAGAAAATCTCACAATATCTACCCTCTCCTAAGGACCCATTACCGCCCCTATCTTCCTGTGGTGTCTATTCTATTCCTTGTTCATGTGGACATGTGTATATTGGCGAAACTGGTCGTTCCATCAAAACTCGGATTCAAGAGCATCAAAGATGCATTCGATCAGGTCTTTTCTCCCATTCTGCAGTTGCCGAACACTGCCAAGAAACCGGTCATTCCATATTGTTCGAAAAAACCCATATTATTTCTAAGAGCCCCTTCTTTTATTCCAGGAAAATCCGCGAATCTCTAGAGATCCAAAAAAATCCCCATAATATCAATCGAGAGGAAGGATACTACTTGTCTCCCATCTGGAATCTCAGTCTAGAGCCACCGCCCGGTCCCGCCACCACGATGCAGCCACATGATTGGCCAACGCGCGCTTCTTGACGTTCGCGCCACGAAGTGTGCCGATACGTCCCGACACAACAGGCACCGCGACTATAAATAGAGCGGTAGCGGAGTAATCGTCGGATTCACTCCCCGCCTCTCGACGCGTTAGTGTTCTGAGCTGTTGGACGTGAATCCCTGTCCTGGCATTTGGTTTTCACCTCTGGCTGCGTTGAGTAGTTGAGTTACTGTGACCAAATGCCCATCTTGGTAGTTAGTATTCGCCTCTGGTTGCGTTGAGTAACTGAGTTACCGTTGCTAACTACCCATCTTCCTGTTCTTTTGTTTTCTTTTTTCATTTTCTTTGTTCTCCTGAAGAAGCTACATATAATTGTAGCGAAACGTCGAGATGAACCCACTTTTGGGTCACTCACAAATGACACGGTCCAAACCCGGAAGACGAATAAACTATAATTCTGACTCTGGCCGTGGAAGCCTACGATTTCATTTAGCTATTTTCTGTTGTGAAATATTGCGATCGGGGTAAGTTTAAGTAATATATGCCTATACAATATATCTGTATCGTTGAAATGCTTAACCTCAAATTGAATATACCGAGTAACCTCTAGTTTTGTATGTTCCAAAAATGGAACTTAGCTTTATATGTTGCTAATTGATTTTTCTTTTTAGTTTGGAATTATAGACGTGAAAAATTTTATGGAAAGAAAACAAGTTGTTCAGCTGATACTCTGAACAATCTGCAACACTGCAGTTTGATTCTGCAAACATATACATTTATCCTCCAGCGGAAGATTCTGAATCATCGGATGATGTAAATTTCAATGATTTTTCTGTTAAGTTTTCATCAAAGATACTAAACGCCGCAGCTGAGGCAACTCTTATTTCACAATGTGAGACACTAACTTACCTGTAGATCACTAACTTCCCGTTCCCTAGAACACACTAAAAAAGAGAACACTCCCTTCTCACAACATAAACATACCCTCAACATCCCAGAAGACGTCTCTTTGTTACATAATATTCCTCAAAAATTTTCTAAAATTAGATCTATATGAAGACTTGGAAATAGTCAAAGAAGCCCCAACTGCGTTAATCGCCATGTATCTTTCAACCCTTACACCGACAACTCTTCTCATAGCTCACACTTCCCAAATTTGCCCCACCTTCCTCTATAAACGTCAACACCTTTAATCCTATTCAATAATTGTGTTTCTTTAAACCACCATTCTCTTTACACTATTGTCGCACCACCACTCCCAATTTTTTTCGACCCTATTGTTAACTTCATAACCATCCACATCCATCATACCTCACTATTTCATCATTTTCTCTACTCTTCACGTCTACATC